ATCCATCCATCCATCCATCCATCCATCCATCCATCCATTTACCCCTAAGAGAAAATAGTTAGAGGGCACCAACTTTCTCATCCATCCCTCCACCTACGCACTCATCCATTCATCCATCTAGATGTTCATCTAGACTCCCATCCGCACAGAAAAAATATACTGAGCGGCTACTTCATGTTAGGGACTGGGCTAAGCACTGGACATGTATTGCAGAAGACAGGGTTCTGATATATTTTGTTGCTGGTATATTCTTGTGGAGATAATGAATCAGCAAATGCAATAATTTAAAATCATGACAAGTGCTACAAAGGAAGTGGGCATGGTGGTATAATAGTGGAGACCTACTTAGCCAGGGCCGACAGCAACGGCCTGCCCGAGGAAATGGTGTAACAGTGTTTTTCATAGCATGCTGTCACTGCAATGCCCCATCCCATCAACGCTACAGATGACAGCTACAACCATAATATCAACTAATAATGACTAAGTGTTGAATGCACCCAATATTCCAGGCATTTTGATTCGTTTAATCACGTCAATCATATAAGATAAACCCTACTATTATTAATTTTGCCGATGAGGAAACAAAAGCTCAGAAAGTTTAATTCATGTATACAAGATCACGCAGTTAACGTGTTAAGAAGTGTGCATGATCTGAGAATGAACCCTACTTGTGAGCTAACCGGTTAGCCTGTGGTTTGGTAGGTGCTGGCAGAGGACAGAAAATTCCTGAGGCAGTCTGAGGACCTTATTACTGTGGCAAAGCAGAGAGGGCTTTAAGTTTCTTGATGTTGTTGGTTCCCATGCCTCCGAGGTCCCATGGAGTGGTGCAGGGCCCATGATGGCTGCCTGGACACACAATGCGTTACAGCGTTACAAAAGAGGAACACTGAGCTTGGGGGATTTGCCACTTGGAGCAAACAGAAGTAAGCCTGCTTTTAGTGTGGGAGGAGACTTTATCTCATCCTTCAAGGTTTGCTCACTGCAAAACACAGCTCTAAGAAAGGGCCTGGGGAAAAAGGAGTCACCGGCCTTGCATTGTTCGCATGCCCACAGGGCCCGTGGCAAATTGCTTCTCCTAAACAGAAGATATCAGAGTCACAATTCAAACCCAGAAATCAATCTAAGAGCAATTTAATAGGTGCTTAAAAATGTGTTTGGTAATATTTAATTTCTCTTTTTTTGGTAATACTTCATTTCTATTCCTGATCAGAAAAGTATATTTCGGCATACTTGGATTAAACGAATGCTTTCCTCATGTGATACAGACCATGACCAGCCAACAACATTACATTTCAATGCCTACATTTAGAGGTATTCTTGGAAAAACTAGGACCAACAAATTGCCTATTTTCATGAGAATCTGGATATTAAGTGGCTGGGCTATCCAGAGTTTGGACCTAGTCACTCTTTCTCCCTGGTTTTCTTGTGGCACTCTTCCTGTTGAATTCAGTCGAGTTGTAAATGTCACTTATGGTGTCCTGCCCTCCGCTGACAAAAAACTGGATGTGAGACCCAAGCTGGGTAGGTCATACTTTCTTCCTTGATTTTGCATGGTGAATGTGAGGAAGTATGGATCCAAAAGCATCTGTGGAACCATGAATAGAGTTATCCCTCTATTAATTTCCAAAAAGGTGGCTTCTTGGAAATGATATGCTTTGGTAGGGTATTGAAGGGCTCACGTAGAAAGGGAGAACAGGAAATTCGGGGAAAGGGAGGAAGAAGAATCTGAAGCTGAAGTCGGGGAAGGGGCAGAGGAATAGTATGCGAAGTAGTTAGTGTTGTGCCCAGAATTCGTGATCCCCAAAGACCACCAGGGAGCCGAGTCCGATGCAAAAGCAAAAGAGCCTTTATTCGAGCTAGCTCGAGCTCAGTCCCCTACCTGCACCGACGCAGCGGTGAGATACCAGGGAGAGAGAGTTTCAAAAGCACAAAGATTTTATAGGGGTCTAGGGGCAGCCGATTGGCTGGGAAAGGGGCGTGGCCTCGGCCGATTGGCTGGGGAAGGGGCGTGTTTTGATCAGGAAGCTTGAATGGGTGAGCGGGAGGTCACTCAAAGGGAGGAGGCGTGGTCTAGGTGAAGGACACAGAACAAGATGGAGCCAGCCGGCGTAGGCCCGCCCTTTCAGTTAGGAACTGGATGGGGTCTTACCTCGACATCTCACTGCATGGCCTGTAACAAATGAGCTTTATTTTTTATTATATTTATTTATGTATGTATTTATTTATTTAAAACACTTTTTTAATGTTTATTCATTTTTGAAAGACAGAGAGAGACAGAGCACAAGCAGGGGTGGGGCGGAGAGAGAGGGGGACACAGAATCGGAAGCAGGCTCCAGGCTCTGAGCTGTCAGCACAGAGCCCGACGTGGGGCTCGAACTCACAAACCGTGAGATCATGACCTGAGCCGAAGTTGGATGCTCAACCGACTGAACCACCCAGGCGCCCCAATTAATTTTATTTTTTTCATGTTTATTTATTTTTGAGAGACAGAGAGAGAGAGAGAATGCGCATGCTCATGAACAAAGGAGGGGCAGAGAGGGGGAGGACAGAGAATCCTAAGCAGGTTCCACATTGTCAGCGCAGAGCCCGGTGCAGGGCTTCAACTCACGAACCATGAGATCATGACCTGAGCTGAAACCCAGAGTGAGATGCTTAGCTGACTGAGCCACCCAGGTATGCCAATAGATGAGCTTTAAATGTTGACACAGGAAAAGAGAAATCCTCATTCTTGCTATGAAAGAGGGACTCACTTAATTCTAAAATGCAAGAAGAATTCCATCTGTCTGCTCATAGCACTGGAGGCGTTAGAAAAATAATAAGAAAAAAGGACACTCGAAAGATCTAAATAGAGCAAATCAATGAAATTACAAAAACAGAAAATAAAATGGCAGAAAATGAACATAACCATATGTAGAGCAGCAGAGGCAAACAATTTTAGGAATGAGAAAGGGGTCATAGCATGATATTATACATGGAAAATCCGATAGACTCCACCAAAAGTCTGCTAGAACTGATACATGAGGGTCGCCTGGGTGGCTCAGTCGGTTAAGCGCCCGACTTCAGCTCAGGTCATGATCTCGCGGTCCGTGAGTTCGAGCCGCGCGTCGGGCTCTGTGCTGACAGCTCAGAACCTGGAGCCTGTTTCGGATTCTGTGTCTCCCTCTCTCTCTGACCCTCTCCCATTCATGCTCTGTCTCTC